AAAACCCAGCCGGGTCGGGTCGGGTACGCTTCATTAATGACGCGACGAGTCCCCGACGATGGTCCCTCGTTGTTGTGACGGTCCATCATTGGTTCTGTTGCGTATGCCCTAGTTTTGAAAATAACATAAAGACGTACCTGGCACGGCAGATTTATGCGACGGTCCATCGCGTGAGTGACGGGCCGTCAATGGGTCCGTCAATGACTGCTGCAGAGTGATTTTCTGCAGAATTTCCTTGTGACGCGCCTGCTAAATTAAAACCCATTAGTAGAAAATGCTACCATTACTAAAAACAAAAAAACTATAAGTATTGGGTTGCCTCCCAACAAGCACATGATTTAACGTCGCGGCACGATTGAGGACACTTGAGTACTCAGCCTTCATCAAGATGGCATGTCTCTATCACTTCATTCACCGCTGTAGTATGCCCAAAATAGAGTTTTATTCGTTCTCCATTCACCTTAAACCGTACTCCCTCCTTGGTTTCTAACTCAACTGCTCCATGAGGGAATACTTGGGTAATCAAGTAAGGGCCAGTATGTTTGGACTTGAGCTTGCCCGGAAGCCAACGCAACCTAGAACTGTCAAAAGTACCAAATCCCCAACCATTAACTCTCGCTTTTCACTTTTTAGGTCATTATCCTTCTTCATATATTCTTTGTAGGATACAATAGATACCGAATTGGAACTCACCACTCTGCCTCATGGACCTACAAATGTTGAAGGTCGCTTCTTCGTTGTTTAACCGAATTTCATCTGCCCCTTTTCCATATCAACTAAGGCTCTACCCGTAGCAAGGAATGGCCTTCTAGGAATAATAGGCACTTCAAAATCGAATTCACAATCAAGAATAACAAAATCTGCCCGAAATACGAATGACTCCACTTTTACTAGAACATCGTGGAGTATACCTATAGGCCTTTTCACTGTTCGATCAGCCATCAGTAGCCGCATCGCAGTGGGTTTTGGGTCACCCAAAACCCAACTTTTTGTAAATCGAGAGGGGCATGAGATTTATGCTTGTCTCCAGATCACATAATGCTTTCACAAAATGTAATGACTCGACTGTACAAGGATTGGTGAACGCACCCGGATCTTCTTTCTTTTGTACGAGAGATCTTGTAGCAATAGAACTACAATGCTGCATTCTATCATCATCCTCGAAAGTGACCGATCTTTTCTTTGCAACCAGATCTTTCATAAACTTGGAATAACCGAGCATTTGTTCTAGAGCTTCTACCAAAGGGACATTGGTAGAAAGATACTACAACATTGTTATAAAATGCCGATATTTACCATCCTCGGTCTTTTTCACTAATCTCTGATGAAAGGGGGGTGGTCTAGGCATGGGAATTACCTTTATAGGGACTTCTGCATCTTTTCCAGTGGTATCTTCTGCTTCATCACTACCCTCTACCACCTTATCATTATCCTTTCTCACCTTTTCCTCATTAGACGGCATAGGTGGCTCAATGGGTTGCTTACCACCCGGAGTAATGATTGCCATACAGTGTGCATCATTTTTCAAATTTTGAACAGTGTTGCTAGGAAGAATGCCAGGTTGCCGTGTGTTCATAGTCGCAGATAATTGGGCCATTTGAAACTCGATCTGCTTAATCGATATTGCATGTGTATCGACTTTCTGCCCAATACATGCTAAATCACTCCTTAGCTCTTTAATGTGCTCATGATTAGCATCGAACCTCCTTATAATTTTGTGCAACATATCCTCAACTCGCACCATACTATCTCCACATTCCCTAGGAGTAACTTCACGATTTTGAGGAGGGACATAAGGCCCATTCCTATCAATTTGTTACCGTAGTTACCCCTGTTGAAGTTGTTGTCACGGTTGTAGTTTCCATCTCGGATATAATGACCCTCACGGTTATAGTTACAATAGATCCGACCTTGGTTCCCTTTATCTTAGCGCCAATTATCCTGATTTGAGCCTTGGGCACTCAGTCGGAAACCCCTCGTCTGCTTATTTACTGCATAGGAATACTACGCATAATAGCATTTATAATTTGGTGGTGGTGGTTTAGACAAGTAGGTAACAACATTTATCTTTTCTGCACCCCTGGTGATATGTTTTAATACCAACCCAAGCTCAGTTATCATCTGTGCCATCTCTTTACGGATCTCATCTGTTGTTGGGTTGTGAGTGGATTGCACTGTGAAGGTGTTTCTCCCAGTATTTGACTTCCTAGTACTCCAAGTTTTATTGTTCCGGGAGATTTTCTCCAACTTTTCAGCAATCTCAACATAAGGACACTCCCCATAAGAACCACCCGCTATAGTATCCAACACCGCTTTATTATTATCATCCTGCCCCCGATAGAAGTATTCCTTCAGTGACTCATCATCTATGCAGTGATTGGGGAAGCTTCTCAAAAACGAGGTGAATCTATCCCAAGAACTACTAACTGACTCTCCTGGCAAAGTTGTTCACTCTGTCTTTGTGGTTTAGTTTCTTGGAGACCGGGCAGTAGCATGCTATAAAAATGTCCCTTAGTTGGTTTCAAGTGAAAATTGGGTTGTAAGGGAGCTCAGTGAACCAAATAGCAGCCTCTCCCGTCAGTGAGAGAGGAAACACTCTTGGCCCTATTACATCCAAGTCCAAGTCACGCCTCCCTACACAGCTTTTACACACTGCCCTTACCTTAATTATATGGGCATGTGGATCCTCAGAAGGTAGCCCTAAAAACAAAAACCTCTGGCATTAGCATTTGCGTCAGGCTACTAGTAACCACAAAGGTGTGGCCTGGTGGTAGAGGGGGAAAGAAAAGCGTCCCATCGGAGTCTGCTACATTGTCATAGCCTCTATAGTATTCTTGGGGATGTGGAGCGGGGTTTTGTACCCTCTGTTGGTTCTCACCAAGAGCATCGGGTAACAACTGACCATGAACATCAACCAGAGCTGGGATGTTCTGGTTCGGATCATCATCATTAATACCTAAGTTTCGATTCATATTGCATAGTGTACGCTCTAATTCGTGATCGTAGGGAAACAAAGGTTCTCTTCCTCTCCGTGTATTTTGATACAAGGAAGATGGTTCTGCAAAAAAACAAAAACAATAAACAAAGTAAAATCAAAAAAAATATTGAATAAACTACATTAATAAGTTTAAGTTAATCCAAAAACTACTTTCCCCAGCAGCGGCGCCAAAATTTGATACGCTCAAATACTTCTCAAATAAGAAGTAAAGCGGTCGTGTCAAGTAAATAACCCAACTAAAGAGGTTGGGATCGTTCCCACGAGGAAAATAGTTTAGACTTAACTTCAATCTATTATTACTATTGTTCAGTCAATTACTTCCTTGGAACGCAAAAATGATAAAAGGGTTTATTCTATTTCTAAATAAATGAAAACAACTAGCAAAATTAAAGGAGACAACTAACAACTTTAAATAATGGAGTTTAAGTAACTAGGGTTTACGTGTTCCCCACAGGTTCATAACTTGATAATTCTAACTATAATAATTTTTTCCTAGTATCTTGCATGCAAAGTGATAAGTTATGTATTTCTAAATCTTTGGTCTGGCATCTAGAAAATTTCACTACGCACCTTGGTCCGACTACGTGTGTTGCTATACTAACCCTTACATTTACCTCATATTAAGCATCGGATTTGATATTTGACTAAGTTATTACCTCGTACCAATCAAAACTAACCTATGAGATAGTATACACTAAATCTATGTTGATAATTCTTTTCCTATTATCTACTTCCTTGGTTCGGCAAGTAGCATTAAGGTGAGTTCTAACGTTGGGCCATCAGTTAAAAAGACTTCTAAGTGAAAGAATTATCAATACATGCAAGACACTATTTTAGAATTGTTATTTTAGTTAGGTTTTACCTCATTATTCACCTATGGTTCCCACAACCCTAGTTATGGAGTTTAGTTACCCATAGTCATAATGACAATATTCAAATATGTAATATAAGAATTCATGCACTTACTTCAATGAGAAAGAATAAAATCTCAAAGTTCACTTGATTAATCAACAAAAGTCACCAACAATCGATTACTGAAATTAATTGAAGACTAAAGATTCTACAAAAGTGTAACTATAATCACCAAGTCTAATCCACCAAAGAAGCTCAAATAACCAAGAGTCTAACCCTAAACACGAGGTTTTCCGAACCATATATAAAAAAAATAAAAACCTAATTAAATATGGACTCTGTTTGCTGAAAATCTGTCAAAACGCGGCTGGATCGACGGACCTCGCGATGGATCGTTGTGGCCACGACGGTCTTTCATGGACTCCGTCGTCCCATACTTATGCAATTTCTTCTGCTCTGTTCATTACCCTCGACGGCAGGTATGATGGATCATCACAGGCATAACGGTCTGTCGGGGGTATCTGTTCCATAACACTTGAACTGTTAGAATTTGGGTACTGGGACTACTTCTCTGATCTTCATGAAGAACCAGCAGGATGGAACGTCATGGCTACGACGGTCCGTCACGCATTCCGTAACCCCACACTTTGTCAGACTTCCCCATCTTCCTTCAGCAGCTACACTACGATGCCACCTACAGACCACCACGGGTACGACGGACCGTCACAAGCTCCATAGGTGGTACTTTTTTGCATTTCTTGCTCAAAAACCTCTGCATTCATCTTTTAGACAGATTTCCTGCAAATAAAGAGAAACTTACTTAAAAATTAATACAAAAAGACTTTTGGACAGCCTAAACTTTAGGAAAAAGCATTAAAAATACCGTGAAACCACGGTATATCAATTCCCTAAACCCATTTTAAAAAATAAAAATCATGTTGTCCCCTTTTGCTATCAGTAGCCACTTTTTAGCATTCCCAATCCTTAGAATTTTGGCAGCCCATCCATTTCGCTCTCCTCCCAAAATCAGCCCAAGACCAATTTTATTAAATAAATTATACAACATTACAATACCCAACAACGTCCAAACTGACTCAAAAACAATACCAACTGACCCTACATACGAAGCCCAAAATGACTCACCAACCCTGAAAACTCAACCTGAGTCTAGGAAACCCAAAATGGTCCCTGCGCCCGTCACCCTCCATTCACACGTGAGCGACGACCCAAATGGGAAGAGAGAACTTTTGTTTTCTTCCTTGGACGTCCCTATCATCGTACAGTTCCAGCAGCCATGGTAGCACGTTTTATCCTTTGGATCAAGATCGAGTTGCGTGGCACTTCAACGATGCTGAATTGATCAAAACCATCCATTTTCTTCCCCATTTTGGAATGGTTTCAGATTTCAGAGAAAAAGCTTTCTTCCTAAAATGGTGAAAGTTTTCACAGGTTTGAATTTCAAATGGGATTTCTCCTCATCCGAATCTTGATTTTTCCCATCTCTTTTGAAAGAACAAACCTACTATCCATTCTATATAATTTACTCATTATTTTATCTATAGAAGGGGGATTTTTTTAGAGAACGAGAAGAAAATACACAAAGCAGAGTAATAGAAACAGGCACAAGGATACTCTTAGAAAAAGGAAGACAATCAACTTTGGCCTGCTCCTCTGTTCTTTCTTTTGCTGGCGTGTCTCCCAGTTTATTTTTTTAGACTCAAAAAGTTCGTTTGTTTCTCTTTGCTGCTATTTGAACTTGTGCTCGTGGGATAGAAGTCCTCTTCTGTTCATCATCCCAGAACGCTGTCTCAGAGAAGGTGAACTCTTCTTTACATTAAACCGTTTGATATATCATTTGGTTTTAGAAAGCATGAAGTCTCTGTCAATTCTTATTCTTCACTCTCGTTTGGTTTCTTCTCTCTATAGTTTAATATTGTTAGAGTGTTAAAGGTTTCGTCTTGGTTTCAAATAGAACATTCTCCCGATTAAGTTTAAAGTATGTTATTCATCTAAGCTTACGATTTTGGGTTTGTTGATGTACTAAAATGTCTAGAATGCCAGCTTTTAAATATTTGTGTCCCAAATGATCTCATTTTCTTTCCTCTCATGTCTTTACTTGAGATCAAGTTACTAATCGTTATGATATGCTTGTTGTTTAGTTTTCAACCCTCTGTATGTGTTCATCCTCTCTGTATTATGTCGATAGAACTATAGAGTTAGCTTCGTATTAGGATTCATGTTTGGTTTAAAATAGTTTTTGCCCTTTGATGTTCCAAACGCTCCTAATTTGCAAGTGAAGTCAGTGGAATGTTGAGTTTTCTTGTTTGGATGTTCCAAATACTATTTTGTTGGAGTCAAGCGTTCTAAATCATTTGAAGTTCGATCCTTAATTGTGTCATTGTTGAGTGTTATTTGACTATGCATCTTATTTAAAGGAGTTTACTACCTAGCTGTAGTTTGTTAATGGTAAAAAATAGCTCATGTCGTCTCTTCTTTGGATACGGATTGCTTTCATCACTTTGCTTAGCATAATTCAATACTATTGTTTCTTGGCTAGGAAATGGTAAAGGTTTTGATCTAGTATTTTTTTATTTTTTTTTAAACACGTGGGGTTCTTTTTTTAGCAATGACTTGTGTTGAGTGTGTTTGGATCCAATGGTCATATTTTGAGTACAGATTTGTAGTTGCTTATTGTTGTTTCCTTAATCTGATAGATGTAGTCTCCTTAATTCATTACTTCCTCTCCCTTATTTCATTTGTAAAATTGGAGTTTTCTTTTTTTTTTTTTGATTAATTTCAACTTGAAATAATGTATATGTCTTTTGACAACATAGGTACAACAAGCCAAATACATGGAGCTTGCATTATTTTATTTTCTTACGTGTTTTGGCTGTGTTGTAATGATCTTAAAGTGTTTTTTCCATCACTGACTTTTCCTATTTCGTTCCTTTCTATGCATGAACTCCTCTCGAGTCCATTTTGGGACTCCCTCTTTCTCGTTGCATCTTTCGTTTGAACCACAAATGCTCTAACCATTATTCTCGAGTCATCCAAACCCCTCAAAACTGACGAACAAGTTGAAAACAGCAAATATGTTGCTGAGATTAACTTGCAGGTCTCCAAAAGCTTAGAAAGGGGCTGATAATGTTGCTTATACACTGATATATGGTCATAAGATATGACATATAGGTCCAAATTAGTACAGGTGCTTGAGAAGCTGAATTTGGGCGTATACACTGAGTATACAATCCAATAAAAAAAAATTGAAATACAATCCGTATACGATGGTATACAATCAGAGTATAGGAAAATAGGCCCAAAGGCCAAAAAATGGCAGCAGCAGAATTTGGGCTAAAGGCCCAAATTTGACATTTCTTTCTTTTCTTATTTTTATCATGATGTTGGACTAAATATTATTTGATATTTGGTTCTAATTTAATTAATTTAAAATGATAGCCATTTCTCCTTCGTTATGGATATTCAAAATTTATATATATATTTTACTTAGTCCTTTTATACCCTTTATTTTCTATATTTTTATTTTGTTTAGTCTTGTTAACACTTTAAATCATTTCCTTTAAAAAAATTTCCTTCTAAATTTATTTTTCCCTTAGATCATAAAAAAGATATATAGTAATATTTGTAATAAAATAAATAAAAATTTGAATTTATTTAAGTTAGTTAAAATATGAACGGTCAACCACGAGTTACCGAACATTCTGACGGCCTAACACCTTCTCGGAATGTATATTAGAAATTCGAACCCTTTTCAATTGATTTTTATCTGTTTTAAATCTTTTAAAAAATAATTGTAAGTTTTCTTAATTTTTACTAATTAAATCAAGTGGAGACTATGTTAATTCGTAAATTGATTTCTCTTAACTCATAAGATTAATTGATTTTTCGAAACTTAGTCAATTTTTCTTTTACGAAATTTTTTTGGAAAACATATACATACATGTCTCAGTTTTCGTATGTTTAATTATCAGTAAATTAATTTTGCATTTTAAGTTTGCATGTCAGTATTTTGAGCTATCCAGTATTACATTAATTAAATCATAAATTTTTAATTACGTAATCAATCAGGAGTAACTTAATACCAAGTGGATTAGGGTTAGTCACCGTCATAGTCCCAGAACTACGTGCCCCGTTGATAAGTCCCAAGTATGGGCATTACACTTAGTGATCACAGCAATCATGCTTTTATATCTCTAGTAGGGTATATTGTGTCCTCTCGAATAGACGTATACATCGGACTCCACATTTAGCTCATATAGTTTGATGTTTATTATTAGTATCTCCCACAGTTCAGTCCAGCTTTTATTGTGTTGGCCATGTTATCAGTTACAATCAGATTTCAATCCCAACATGTTATAAACTTGGTCATTGCATTCCATTAGTTCATGTTATATATTCTCAATACACTATCATGCTTATCTTTTATCATTGCTCATATATATGCTTTGGTTCAGTTATGTTATTGTTCAGCTTTATTTTGTCTTGCATGATCAGTACCATTCAAATACTGACGCATAATTTGCGTGACATATTCTCCTGATGTAGGTTCAGGTTCTCAGCTTCCAGATCACTCAGAGATCAGTTCCCGATCTTCTGTTCAACTACACCAATGGTGAGTCCTCATTCTTTGAGAAAGAGTGAAATGATTATCTTGTTTTAGTTTAAGCTTTTGTGTCAGTTTTGTTAAATTTAGCTGGGTATGTCCCAAGACTTCTAGTCAGTTAGAGGCTATTTTAAGACATAGTTAGTTTTAACTTTAGTACTTGAGTTAGACTTTTCAGTTGTTGTTAAACTCTGAGTTTTCATTTATTCAGATTTAGTATGGGATATTCCCCATTATTTCGTATTATCTTATGATTAGCTTCCGCACAATAATTCTTTACTTCAGTTTAATTTAGTATGCTTATGATATGTTCACCAGGTTTAGTTTGGTGTCACTCGTGATCCTAGGTCCATGTACACATCCTAGAGGTAGCTTCGGGGTGTGACAAAAAAGTGTTTGGAGAAACTTGACGTCGCTTGAAAACCCTAGATTTATCATCTTGGATATTTGATCTAAGGCTTGTAAGCATTAATGAAAGTAATATGGTTCATTAACATATTTTAGAACCTTATTCACGTGAAAAAGAGTTAGGGTTTAGGTTTAGAAGGGGTGGGAATAGTCTGGAACACCTCTCTTAAAATTTGGCAAAAACCTTATATAAGGTCATCTACAGTTTGTGGCTTGATATATGAATCGTGGATCTCATCCGTAGAATTCAGACTGAAATTTTAAGACTCAAAGGTTTATTCTACTTGTCCAAACTACTACCAGTAGAAGTTTATCAGTTGTAGATAGGTCCATAAGAATTAAATCCACAATTTTTCTCTTAGTACTTTTTCCACGAGTGAACAATATGGGTCCTAGAAAGTTCTATGACCCCTTGAAGTTATTTGTAGGTCATTGACTCAAAAACCTCTGTTGTGGTAGTCCCTAGTAAAATGGTCATAATGTTTTATTTCTAACTTAAAAATGAGAAAAACATGGTGGTGTTCTAAAAAGGACACATAGAACATTTGATAGGTCATGGGCTATATAATTCACTATGTCCTAAGAGAAATAATTGTTTAATTTTGATGTAACATCCCACATCTAGAAAAAATTTGAAAGTATTTATTTTAATAAAGAATAAGAAATATCTGAAAAATTGTTTAAGTTAGGAAAGTGAGTTTTGGTAATTTTCAAACGGTCATAACTTCTATCTCAGGATGATTTAGAGGTAGTTATTGATATGATTGGAGATCCCGTTAATATATCTTTCCAACGCCACCGAGTTTGCGCAATTTTAATATTGTATGAGTGAGTTATGCCTTTCGGAAGTTGGATTGTTGGATTAAGGAAAATCCAATGCGGATTTGGGAAGGAAAAGTTGTATTTTCCCTACATAATTTAATTAATTCATTTTTAGGGATTAATTGGGGTTAAAACTAAATTTAGTTCAGTTTGTAAAAATAAAAATTACTCTTAGGCTTGGAGAAGAGAGAAAAAGAAGAGAAAGATAGAGAGAAGTCAAGAATTGTCGAGAATGCCAAGCTTTGCGAATGGAATTAGTTGGGGTGATCCCTATAAAAGTATGTGAGATCTTTATTATTGGGTAAGTTCACTCACACACCTAACTTGTCTCAATTAAGTGATTGGGGAGTTGTTTACATGTTAATATGTGAAGTTCTTGAAGAACATTGTCAAATTCTTGTTGGTTGAGTTGTTGAATGCATAGTGTTGATTTGATTCATGTTTCTGGGTTTTTTTTCGAGTTAAATCTATTGGGTATTGAGGGTAATAATGATTCTTAAGTGTTTGGGGAAAGAACCATGGAACTTTAGAGGATTTAGAGATAAAAAACGAAGGAGAAAAGTCGAGAACACCTGGTTAAAGGGGTTGGGGCGCCGCACCTCCCATCGCCCAAAGGAAAATCGTTATTCGTAGGGACTTGGGGAATCACGCCATCCATAGAGCCCCAACTTGGCCTCTGAAATTTGGGGCATGGCTCCCCACGCCTCTAAGAGAGCCAAGGACGTCAATTCAACCCATTCTTTCCCCCACCTTTTCATACTAGTTCCTAAGTGATGTACCTATGTTTCTTAGTTGATTCCAACACTCTAACCTATATCATGAAATCATCAAAAAAATGAGATCATGAACCTTCAATTCATAATCCAATTCAAGGAAAGTTAAGATCAAAGTCATAGAAATTAAGAGTCAAGTCTTGAAGTTAAGAAGCAAGTCAAAGCCAAGTTCTTAAAAGTTTTCAAGGGTCTTTAGCAACGCTTTAACTTTGTTTTAAGACTGAAGTTTCAAGTTATGTAACAAGTAAAGAGTTGAGTTCATTTCTCAAAAATATATAAGGGAACTAAGTATTCACTAAAAAATGTTTTAAGACTTAAGTTTGAAGCTAGGTAAAGAGTAAAGAGTTCAGTTCATTCTCAAAAGTTATACGAGAACTAAGTATTACCTAAGAGTTATAAACGTTTTTTTCACTTTATGATAAGAATAAACTAAGATTATTTTAGATTTCAGCAAGAAAACGAAACATTGATTCCAAGAGAGCTTATAAAGATAAGTGTTGAGCAATTATCTCCACCCAGAGTAGAAGTTGTTTTAAAAACACATGAGCTTAGGATATTTTTGGGAGTAGTATTGAGCACGGATATGAGGATGCGAGTTTATAATAACTCAAGTCTCAATAAACCATGTAGCTATCATGAGCATTAAAGGATTATACGTTTTAGATGATCACTTAAGTTAAGATAGTGAATCCACTAAGTTAAGTCCTATACCAATGGCAAGGTATAGGATGGTCCTCGATAGCGTGAAGTAAAACATTGTACCATCAGTTAGACTCATAATGATGGTTGTTAGTTAGAGAATCTCTCATAGAAGTTATATTACTTTAAATGAGTAAAGTTAAGTTTGCTTTATATATATATATGTGTGTGTGTGTGTGTGTGTGTGTGTGTGTGTGTGTGTGTGTGTGTGTGTGTGTGTGTGTATATA